AAAAATTGCAAAGAGTGTCAAAATGAAGAAACAATGGAGGCTCAGATAAGGAGAAGTTACAAAATATGGCAAAATGAAGAGGCTCGTTTTAGGTAAAGAGAAAAGGACGGGACTATTCAAATTTCACGAAGTACGAAGACGGCGTGACAGCCGTCCTCAGTCAATCAGTGCGTGCCACGTGTCCTGGGAAGGAGGAACGATTCAGTTGCTGTGATTGAAGAGACGCTTTGATCGGACAAGCAAAGCCCGGTGTAAAATTAGCTCGGCTGAAAGCCTTAAGAGTTTTAGCTCGGCTGGAAAGGCTAAAGGGTTTTTTAGCTCGGCTAGAAAGGCTTAAAAACTTCAGCTTGGCTGATAGACAGGTAATCCCTATCATGCTGTGCAGGTGGAATTAAGGGGCAATTGAGAGGGTAATTTTTGTGAAAATTGGGCCGAGCTAGGAGATGGTCATTATGGCCTATAGTACGAAGGGTTGGGTAAAAAAGCCGTAAAGTTACTTCGGCTCAAGAGAGGTACAAAATTACTCCGGCCCGAGAGAAATGTAAAGTTACTCCGGTCCGGAAGCGACTTGGAGTTAGGCCGGTCTTAGAGTTAACCCGGTCATGGCGTATTGTGGTTAGAACGGTCAGAACCTTGCTACTCGGTAGCTCGGTCTAAACACACCATGGTTTGTACACGAGAGAACCGAGATAAGGAGGAGTAAAAGGAAGAACCGAACTAAGGATAGTTCGGTCTACTCTGCTGCTCAGCATAGCCATGATTACTTCGGTCATGTTGGAATTCGGCCATGGTAATAACCATCTCACTTGGTTTAAGCAGTGAGGGGGGTGTTGGAGAATAAGAATTATCCTTCAGGAGGTTAAATCCTAGGAGGACTCTGCGTGGAGGAGTAGAAGTCCTACTAGGATTGTGCCACATGAAACCTATAAAAGCTCACAAACATCACCTTTGGAGAGGTAACACACAACTTTGCTTTTTGAATACACGGAGCTTTTGTCTATTTGTCAAGCTTACTGACTTAGGCATCGGAGAGGTTTCCGGCACACACCCGCCGGCTAGCTCACGTTTGTGTTTTCAGGTGGTAAAGCGACGACGTACAGAGGAGCGCAGACTTGATCAACAGGATTATACGAGAAGGTTTATTTCTTTCCCGTACATAAACATAAAAAATATCTTTAAATTAAAAAAATATATTTTTCTTCCAAAAAAGAGAGATTCATATGAAATTGTTTATTTATTTATTTATTTACCAAACTAGTTTTTATTTTATTTTTTTAGAAAAATAAAAGGCAAAATTCAACAAACATGGTGAATCGAATTTATCATATCCTAATTTTTTTAAAACTATTTTTAATGCTAAAATATATGTGACTATTTTTTTTGATTATTTTTTAGTAACATTTTTTTTTTATTGTATGATTTGAGTTCATAAAAGCACGAAACAATATTTGTATGGCTTAATTATTATTTTTATTGTATGGTTTGAGTTAACATTTGTATGGTTTGAATATTATTATTTTTATTCATATGAATTAATACTTGTACAATTTAAATATTATTATTTTTTTATTTATAAGACTTGAGTTAATATTTGGATGGTTTGCATATTATTCCTTTTTATTTGTACAGTTTGAATTGATATTTTTATTTTTATTAGTCTTTACGTTTTCTCTTAGTAAATAAAAATAATATTTGTCTATTCAAAAAGTAATTATGAATAATTATTATTTATATTAATTCAAGTCATACAAATTATTTTAATTATAATTTTTTTAATATATTGCTTTAATTATTAATTTAAATTTTTATTAAATATGTTATGTGAAATGTAGAATTCTTCTCTATAGGAAAAGTAAGATGACGTGTTCCTTTCTTTATTCTGCTAAGAGAAACCAAAAAACGTTAGTGATCACTTTCGACCAAGATTGGTTTAGAGGACCCTCTGACGATCAAACTAGAATACTGTTTAACCATAGGAAATTTATATTTAAATGAGGGATTTTGGATTACATTTGGTTTGTCCTCTTTGTTTCACTTGCTTCACTTGCTTCGCCTTTTATAATATTCTTGACTTAAATCTCATCCATTGGATCAATGTTTGATTTGAGGATTTTGTCCACTTCTAGGTCTGGTCGAGCAAGTGGCTATGTTGTTTTTATCTTTGATCTTTGGGTCATCCTTTCTTGGACGGCTTAGATTACGTCAAATTTAGTAGGCAACTTGTCAAGTGTTATGTTCGTCCGATTAAGCTAATAGGACGATTGTGTCATTTAGTGGGCCTGGTCTATGTCTCTGTATTTGTTACTTGATATCTCTATCGTTAGATGAAAATGAATCCAACGGTCCTCTAGCATCCTGCTGATCTCCTTCTAGAAGATCTTGCCCTTCATGCGCTCAATCATGTGCTATTGTCCTGCCAATTATCTCTAATGGCCCCCTTAATAATATAACTAGGCCTTTCCTTTGAGCCGCTTTACTTAATTGTCTTTTGGACTTTGGCCAGTATTTTATCCCTCCACATGTTAAATATTAGTTTCATTTTAAAGATTTTTATTGATATTTTTTGAATAAAATTAATTTTAAACTTTGAATTTATTAGGGGTGCAACTCGGGCGAGTTCGATCGGATTAAGAGGTTGTTCAAGCCCAGCCCAAGTTGTACTGAGATCTGCTCAGGCCTGCCCAAGCCCAAATTGTAGCCCGAGGTTGCCTGCCCAAGCCCGACCAGAGTTAAACCCGAATTGTCCGAATTGTATATATTTTTTTTGCAGCTACATTATTAAATTATTAAAATTTGACTCTATTTACATTTATATATATATATATATATAGAAAAATTAATATCATCCATCAAAACAAATAATTTATATAATATGTTGAATTCTTGTTATGATGCTTTGTGTTGGCTTTTTGATCATTTTTCTCTAGTTAAGTCAAAATACAACTTTCTCTGATTTGGTCAAAACATAGAGAAAATTGTGAGTAAACTATGAAAAATTGGTCAATCACACTATAATGACTCTGGTCGAAACCCGACCCTTATTACCTTTCGTATAATAGAGGTTGTATTAAAAATGTTTGCTGTCAAAAAATTTTACTTGACATGAAATTTTTCTAAGTGTCAAAATTGAGTTTTTCAAAACTTACGATTTTGAAAGTAACTAAACATAGTAATTATTTTTTATATATTAAAAATTATATATATATATTTTATTAAAATAATATAGAATAAATTTTTTTTTAATTACAACAATAAGGTCTGTGGTGTGATGCGTGTGTTGTGCAGAGAGGGGGGACGCGTTGTGCAGAGTGGGCGAGTGTGTTAGTGTGTTTGTCAATATTCCATGCCTCTGTAATGTGTTTTGAATGAGTTTTAATTTTAAAATTTTAAAAAAAGTATTAGTAAAATGAATGAGTTTTAATTTTGAAATTTTAAAGAAGTATTAGTAAAATGTGGTAATGAGTGGAGTCTATATGTAATGTGAAATATATGTCTATATTTTTGTTTTTTTTTTTTCTTGTCACAATATTATAACTCTCTTTAAAAATCCAAACTTAAAACTCTCTATCGTTGATATGTTTTACACTTGCCATTGTTGAAATTTTCAAAAAATACCACCAATATGTGGTTTACGAATGTAATTCTCTCTTCCTTAAATGGGAGAATTACATGTCAGTGAGATAGTTTTTTTTTTTTTTTACACAAATATAAGGGGATAATATTTTACTTGTACCTTATCACATAATCATTTACATGGTATATGTTTTTATAATTTTTTTTTATTCACACTGTGCTATAATTCTCCCTACTTAAATAGTCGTCATGATGTGTACTTTTTTGGGATTATAATTCTATGCTCTCTACAACGATATTATGAATAGCTTGTTGAATGGTTGGTTTGGAATATTTTAAAAAAGTATATTTTTTAATTTATTAGCTTATATGGGTTGAGTTTGGGTTAGGTTTGATGTGATGTGTTAGAAATATGATGTGATTTAAATAAGATGATGTGACTTAAATAGGATAGTGACTTTTTGACTTTTTGTATTATTTAATTTATGCCAAACCAACCCTAAGTTTGAAGCAAAAGTATTATTTTAGAATGTGTGATTTAATTTTATTGTTAAAATATCTATTTGTTGTAATAAAAAAACATAATAAAATTATTATAGAAAAAGCATGACACAAAAAAAAAAAAAACTCACTTCTTTTTTTCCTGTTAAATAGCACTTTAGTCTCTATGTTAGTGTGTTCAAAATGAACAATGCTAGGTATCATGAAAAAAATATCATAAAAATGATCATGAAAGATTCTCTATCGTTAGATTACACTTATAAGAAAACATCACACACTAATCAAAGGATGAGACATCTTCATGAAGTATTTCATGATATTTTTTTCATGATCCCTAATATTATTCGTTCGGAATCAATTATGAAGAAATGAATATTTTTAAGATTTCACAAGAAATCTCAACAAAATCAAAATATCAAATACACACCGGCCTCAAAATATAATTTTATTGCATCTTAGTCCCTCAATAGAAGTTTTGTTTTATTTTCATTTGGTCCCTAATTGTTTAATTTTTATAATATATTTTGTAAAGTTTCAAAAATGTCTCCCCTTATTGGTTTTGAAGAACATTGATGTCATATATTAAAATGTAATAGATCATATATTTCGAGAACAAAAGTAAAAATAAAAAAGATTAAGAATTAAAATCTAATAGATTGAATATTTTAGTGTCTACTAATGCAATTATTTAACATAATTTGATGAGTTTTAAATTGTGATGAATCCATTTAAAGCATATAGTCTCATTATTTTGATTAATAAAATAAGACATTAAAATCAGACGCAATGATCATAAATACAGACAAATAGAAAACCAACTCAATTAAAATTGCATATTTAGTAATAATATCAAATATTAGAAATTATAGTGGACACTTTTCTATGAGATATGATGTGATATGATATCTGAGTTTGGGTCTTTCTTATGGGATAATGTAGTTTTTTCTTTCTATTTTCTTTTATTTATCTCATACAATTGTAAAAATAAAAAGGACAATGATAGAGACCACTAAAAATGGTGCTCTAAATAACTACTAGTGATGTGCCATTCACTTTTTTTAAACAAAATAGACACAACAGCACTGTCACAGTGGATACCCATTATCACATCATTAGTGGTGTCATTAATTAATGCTCATTTTTCAAAAACCTTGCCTCTCTGTATCACCATTAATGCGTGCATTCAAAAACCAACTTCTCTCTTTCCCCACCGCATAAACCTTCAATACTTGCCTTTGCCACCACATTTTGATACCAAAAAAATAAAAAAAATAAAAATAATAATGAAATGCATGCACTCTTAGAACTAACTACCTTGCCATAGCATGCATGTTCCCACGTGCGAATTCAAAGTCATCACATGGCCACCCCACACGTGCCACACAGCTAGCTTTCATGTGACTCTCGTGTGGAGGAGTTAGTTATAGAGAGTTACTCTCAATTTGAGTCTGAGTCTGGCCGATCCCATTCCAGATCTCCGTGAAAACTCGAACGATGATCTCGTGATGGGTCGGCGAATTCAGCTGTAAAAAACAGCTGAGAAGCTCTTCCAGATCGGCTTTCGAGTAGATCTCTCGCTCTGATATCATCTGAAGCATTGAATTCTTGAAATCCAAATAAGGGTCGTCGGATTCTTTGACGACGGCGACGCTGTCGGAGATCTTGGAACAAGGGCTGACCATCTTGGAACACAAGTGTGGTGGTGGTGGTGGGTTTTTTTCGGGTTCAGAAGAAGAGCAGTGTGGGGAAGATGTGCCAATGTTGTTAAGAGAGAATGTTGTTGAACAAGTGTAATCGGAACTTGAAGAAGAGTGGTGATAGGTAGTGGGATTTGGGTTTTGGTGATTGGGAATTTTGGACTTTGGCTTCGGTTGGAATATGTCTGAGAGCTTTGGCTTGTTGCATCCACAGCCTCCATTGGCTGTGAAAATGGTTCTGATGAGGCTTCGCTTGTTGGTGTTGGAAGACATTGGAGAGGGATTTGTAAATGAGTTTTATATATGGGAAGTTTGCATAGATGGGGTGGTGTTTTTTCTAGGGATCCTACCAAATGGAGAGAGAGAGAGACAGAGAGGGGGAGAGTTGTGAATGAGAGGGAGTACTTTGTGGGTAGGAGTCTTTTATACATTTCAATTTACTGTTTTGGATAAATTATATTTCACTTCCCTCCACCAAACTAGGCTCGAGGGTGATTATTCAGTAATTTTAAAATATAGATATATGATATTTTATACTATTGTAATTGGTAGAAAAGTTAGGTAGAAGTATTGTATTGGGTGATTGAAAAAAATGAGAGGACATATTGAATGATAATTAGTTAAGAAGTATGGACACATGATACTCTAATAACATTAAATAATTTTGTGGACTTGAGACTTTGAACCATTTGTGATCCAATTTGGATTCATTTTATTGATCCAAACAATTTTATTTTTTAATGTCTTACAAGTATATTATTTATAAACTAAAAAAAAGAATATTATTTATAAAAAAAATTAAGTTAATAATAACTACACGTTTGAATTATATTTATAAAAAAATAGATAACAAGTATATTTTGAAAAATAAATTAACCATTTTGTTAGGAAAAGTGTGATCCAAATATGTTATTATCAATATTTGATCAATTTTATTTTTTCATTAATAATGTACTCAAAATATTTTAAAATTTGAACGATTAAGATCAACTAAATCAACCCAAGATGGACCCATGATAGCCTAAATGAGACCTTTTAGTTCACTTTGGAGTGGAAGGAAACCTTTCCCCTTTTGGATAATATCAATGCTCTAAAAATTATTTTGTTTACTCACTTTATTAATAGTAAAATTATTTCGTACTCATGGTGGCCATATGAAGATTGTGATTAGTGAAATAATACTCCACTTTACATTAGCAATTAGGGCGACAAAGGCAAGATATTTTGTGATGAGTGCGGACTGCATGGTTACCGTGGGCATCGAATAATTTTCACAATTAATTAATTTTTCTAGTAATTCTCTCCTTTAGATTACATGATGTATTTCAGGTCATGCGTACCATATGAATTCTATTTTAATAGTTTTTATTATTCATATGGTATGTTTTTGTGTGTATATTTATATTTTTTTCCATAAAACTAAACGATGACATCATATTGTGATTATTATGAAGTTAATTAATTTATTTATTTTTCATAAATCATCTATGTACAAGTGAATGAAAAAAAATCAAAATCCACTAACATGTATGGGGTAAGGTAGCATTTTAAGCGGTGGTTGACTCTTTAAGATAGGGTGGCGTAGGCTAATCATATATATACCAACAAATAGAAATGCATCGGATCTCTTAAAAACAAAAAAGGTGAACCACCAATTTAACAAAACATTTGCCCTTAGCAGGTGGCTGACATTCTGGTTAAGGTTTGGGATTAAACTTTTAGATCATAGGTTTAATTTATTTTTTTTTTGAGTAAATTTTTTGGGCGAAGCACAGTTAGTTAGAAAGTTAGATTTCAAGTTGTCTAATTAACACTTGGTGTGGGTTCAATGCTCCTCCGCTGTGCGAGTCCTGACTTAAGCGGAGCTTGTCTTGGGAGGTCGGGGCAAGTTCTCAGGTTATAATCTCCTCGTTCAGAACGACTAATAGGACACCTTAGTGATCTCTACAAGAGACGCTGTCTTGAATCTGCGGGAGAGTAGAAAGGATTTTCCTATAACAAAAAAATAAAATAAAATAAAATAAGAATATTTGCCCTTCAAATTTAAAATAAAGTTTATGTTGAAATAGATTAACCATTTCTTCATAAGAAAAGGGACACCTTAGAATTCAATTTCTAACCTATTTTTTTATTTAGATTTTTAACCTAATTTCTAACCTATTTTGATGATATAATTTGTTTGTTGCAATATATTAAATAGATGATATATATTTGTTGTGAATCGTAAAATTCTGATAACAGAAATTATTGCAATAAGAGAAGTGTGCATCAAATGTTAATTTTGCCTATAAAAAGTAACTATAAGATTAGTATGTGATTATTTTCTGTCAAAAAAATATGACACCCATTGTCAATTATTTTTATTGGACACAAATTGAAAAAAAAAAAATTATGTCACATGTGCCCCAATTAAAAATAGAGGCCAAATTAGTACCAAGAATAAACCATACAGATCATTGAAGTCTCGGAGAGAGAGATGCGAATGAGAAGTGCTTGTGGGTAGGAGTCCTTTTTCAGATCTCACTGTTAGCTTAGGAAGTAAGGTATTTTCAGAGATAGTTGAACCTTTAAGGGAGGGTGACATATATGTATACCTATCTATCTATGTATCTATACTATTATATATATATATATATATATATATATGAGTATTGGATTTGGTGTTCAAGTGTGTTCTGTCACGTGTCTCTTATTTTCAAACTAAAAAACAAAAAAAAATTGATAAACAAGACTCAAATCTTGATCTTGAATTTGTTAAATAAGACTCCTATTCAGTGGCAAAGCTATAGAGGAGCTAGGGGGTCACGTGCCCCCCTCAGTTGTTTTTTTGTTTTTTTGTTTTTTTGTATTGTTCACAGTTTATAGTTTATTTGGTACTCTTGAAGCATCATATATTGTTATTTATGTGGTGGTCTAAATCTATAATATAGTGTGAAATTCTATGAATGGAACATAGTAACTCATTATTGTTAGGTAATTGAAAGATAATAGGTAAATCACTTAGTGTGAGTTACGATTTTTTATATCGAAAGCACTACCTTATCAACACCACAAAATATTCTGGGACTATCTAATAATTTCTATTTAAAAGACAATTTTATAATCAATACTATCTCTCTAATATTTTTCTATGAAATAAAAATTATAGAAATTTTATAATGATTTGTACTATAAATGATTTGCTTCGATTTTCTAAAATTAAGAATTTTAATTTGTAATTTTTTGTGCTAAAATTGCATACTTACATTACTATTGTGTCTGAGTTATTCCACATTATTATAGAATTTTGATTAGTTGCAATTAATAATGAATAATTAAATTTTTATACTTAAATTTAGCTCATAAAATTATTATTATTTTATTATTAATCACAAAAAAAAAATAAATTATAAAGTGTCTCCTTTACCTTAATTTCTTGGCTCCGCCACTACTCTTATCATTTGACTAGTACACAATATTTAGCAAATATTTTATTTTATATTTACTTATTTAAATTACATACATTACGTGTACCACCCATATATATATATATATAGACACACACTAGCAATGCATTAGTTTTAAAACATAAGGTAAATTAAACTGACACTCCCTGAAATTTATGTTTATTACAGTTCGTCCCCTCACATTTGAAAAATTATACTGTCCTCCCTATTAATTTAATTTTATGTATGATGATCATTACGGTGAGGGGGGAACTGTTATGAGACTTTAAATCTCATAAGGCAATCTGTAATGAAACTTTAAACCTCAAGGAGGAGGATATAATTTCTAAAAAATGAAAAAAAAACTATAATAAACATAAACCTCAGAAGGTGTCGATGTAATTTACCCTAAAACATAATAGTCGTCATCTATAAAATTTCACTATTTTGAACAGGAAAATTTCACATGTCCAAAATTCATAAATATCTAATCAGATTAGCTAGAACCTAAACAACACACTGTTACAAGAATTATCCTTATGCATTGGTATTTGATGTCATTCAGATATAGAAAAAGAAAAAAAATCAATCTCACAAGTTCATAGTCAAAATAAGATTAATTGAAATTACACAAGTGACTATAGCGGTGTAATTGCCTTAAAATCAATATATACATGGAAAGAAATTATTTAAAAAAGAAACAAAATAAAGTGTTAGAAAAGTCTTGATATTTTTAGAAAAAATACATTTCAGTTGGACAATGAAGAAAAAAAAATCTGAAAAGTGTTGATGTTTTTAAAAAAAAGGCAAATTACAAATAAAACTCTAAGATTTAGCATATTTTGCAAATTAAACCTCATGTTTTTAATTTTGACAATTAGTACCCTATAATTCATTCTGTGTCACAATGTAAACCCCCCGTCCATTTCCGTTTCATGAAGTAACAGAGAAAGCCATTTTTGGCGCCTAAACCAACTCAAAACGACGTCGTTCCTTATTAGACCCATATAAAAACCCCCAAATCCTGAATTTCACCAATTAGGGCTACAATTTGCCCTAATTTCTTCGATTTCATTGATTTAGGGCAATACGAACGACGAATCCACTACAGAACGAAGCTCTATTTTAGATATTACGAAATATGGGTGAAGGAAACAGCTGGGGTAGAAACAATTGAGGTGAATCAACTCGTTGCAGTTGTGGAATAAGAGCAAGAATCCGAACTTCATGGACCCATGCGAACCCAGCCAGGAGGTTTCTTGGTTGTCCAAATTATGGAGTAAGTTTCTCAGTCCTGTGAATAATATGAAATTTGTGTATATTGTTGTCGTCTAAAACCTGACTTTGATTAGTATTTTGTAATTTATTTACTTTATTTATTTAATTTTATTTATTTATGTTTTTTTTTTTCAAGAAAAACGGGACTTGTGGCTTCTTCTATCGGTATGATCCACCCACTTGTCCTCGTGGTTGACAAGTGTTGCCGAAGTTGGTGGACAAGGTTGCAAGCTTAGAGGAAATGGTAACTGTGATTGCAAGATTGAAGGAGGATGTTCAAACTTATCATCGTAGACAGAAATGGATTGTAGGTGGATTGATTGCTGCAGTGATTGTAGTTGGAATGTTAATAGTGAGCAATTAGGAAATATAGGTTAGTTAGTTAGTTAGCATTTCTGGTTTAGGAAATGTAATGCAACTATGCACTTGTCAATGTGAACTTAATGTATAATTTTGAATGAAATGATAAATCCTTGTGTTGTTTGTAATGTATGTTTGGATTGTGGTAATATTTGTTTGGTTGTATACATTTTGAAATGAATTTGATGCATTTGCAAGGCCAATGCTCTGAATGTGTTTGACAAAATGTCCAAGTGAAGGGAAAATAGATTACAAGCTTGTAAAAAACAGATTAAAAGCTATTGTTAAACATGTTTCAAATCAATAGACAACACAATCCAAGCATGTATAATAACCATTCAATTGGTCAACCTGTTCCATCTATTCAACTTATTCCAAGCATGTAAAAAATAGATTAGTAACCATTGTTCAACATGCTCCAAACCAATATACAACACATTCTAAGCATATATAATAACCATCCAATTGGGTACATCATTAATGTCAACCATGTATAATAACCATCCATATATTGCTCCAAACCAATATACATCTTTCACCATTACAA